TTGCGATTGATGAAACATTTAAGAGCTGAAGCGTAGCTTTCATTTTTCCAGATCATAGAGATAGTATATGTGTAAGCATCAGGACACATGCGACTATTAGGGTCACGCTGAAACGAAAATGTAACTGTAATGCGGCATGCAATAGATGCCAAGTTACATATTCATCATAAAAATAATGTTTCAGCGTAACATCTTTTCTGCACTAATCAAGATATTCGTAACCTTTCGGTCACTATTGTGTGGCAACGCAGTTACAGTTCAACCAATTGATAACATTAGATCGACACAGAAAGGTTACACTGTGTCATCATTGAGGCCAGATAAGTCGCATTTTATCTCGTGACAACCTGACTATGAAGCTCCCAATGACCATTGTGTGACATTAATGAGTCCTGTTACTTAGAAGGTCATGACGTAACTTCTTGTTGACTTGATATGTAACTGGATATGTTTCATGGTTACCTTCATGTAATAATTGTGTAACATGTTACTTTTTCACTATTATAAAAAGATGTTACAGGTGCTACTTGGGATGCTAAAGAGTCTCGAGTATCCGTTTCCTTGATCTCTATTAAGCAATGTTGATGGTTTATGTTTAAATATTTCTAAACTTTTTGCTACGTCTAGTTTCCAAGGCGAAGATAAACTCCGCAGGATATTAATTTTATCCTTTGTCAAATTGTGCCCCTTTGTACAGATATGTTCTGCAACCTTGGATTTAAATTCATAATGAAGTCCTTTATCCATCTCTTTGTAAGTCTTTTTTATCTCTGCGATGTGTTCCTTAAACCTTGTTTCCAAAGTAGTCTGACCAATGTAGATTTTATTGCAATCTGTACAAGAGATTTTGTAGACTCCGGCTTTCCCTAAGACATTTATCGAATCTTTTGTTGATCCTAACAGTGACTCCAGCTGATTTGTCCTGCTGCTGAATACTAAATCTGGGCCAAAACTTCTAAACATCAAAATCAAAGGTTTGGTAATGTTTTTGTCGAAATTCACCGCTTCCCGTTTTAAACCCTCAGTTACTGGTGTAAGAGTTTTACGAAGTACGCCTTAAATGATCCCTTGATCTTTTATCGATTACTGCTTGAATTGTTTTTTTCTTGATACCCATTAAGTCTAGCGATTTCAAAAATGTGAGCTATCTTCTTTGATTTGCCTGTATCGCTAAGAGGAAAAGTTTGCATCCTGTGAACCATGTGGTGAAAAACGGCCATTTTGTGTTGATGGGAATGGTTTGAAGTGCTTTGTATTTGTTGGTTTCCTATAGATTTCTAAATATAACGAAGACGTTTCCCTGATGATGAGAAGATCTAAGAAGGGGAGTTTGCTGTCTCTCTCTCTTCTTCGTGAGTAAATTTGATGTCCTTGTGAACGTTGCTCAAGGCCTCTAAAATTTTTGATAAATCTTCCTTTAGTTTGTTTATATAAATTTCTTCTGAAAATGAAATAATTTTCCACCAAGAACTCAAGTATCGTCAACCCGAGCAGGAGCAAATATCTTATTAATACTAAATTTATGTATGAAATAGCATAACTGGAAAAATATGAAAATGGCATAACTGGCTAAATATGGTTTTGATGTGCCTGACATAAGATGACATAAAAGAATTGAGACATGAGGTGTATGCGTGATAATGTTTGCACCATTAAGAAATGTCAAAATTAAAAAAAAAATCTCAAAAATTTCGTTTTCGAGTTTTTTTTTATTTATTCAAAGGGGAGATGTTTCTCAGAGTCTTAAACTATGTTAATCATCGATCGAGATTCCACTTGCTGCAATTACGGCCTCCACACGCTTCCGGAATGCACGGCAGGTTCTAATAATGTAGTGTGGATCCATTTATCTCCAGGTACGGGTCAATGTTTGTCTGAGGCTTGCTGTACTCGGGTGGCGTTTAGAACAGGCTTTGGCCTTCATGACGCACCATATTGAGTAATCCAGCGGATTATGATCGGGGCTGGATGGCGGCCACATATCTTTCGCCCAGAACGGACGATGTTCCTGCAACCACTTCTGAGTGCGGTTCGAGGTGTGGCACGGAGCCCCATCTTGTTGAAATACAACATTTGGCTTCGGACCGTACTGTTCTTTGATCCACGGAAGAACATACTTACTTAAAATCCCGATGTAGACCTCCGTGTTGACCTTCTGGCTTCTGGAATGAACACCGGGTCAATTTTTTTGCCATCGGAAGCCACCAATCCAAACACCATAACGCTAGCAGGATGCTTGGTCAGATACACGTTCTTGTGCTCGTCAGCCACGTCTTTTACCGGAAGAGAACTAATATACCGGTCGGTTCTGGAATTTGATACGGGATCGAAGGTAAACATGCTCTCGTCGGTGAACAGGATTACCGGATTTTTTCGCTTAAGAAAGTTCAAGATTTTCTTGCATCGTTCGACTCGTAGCTACCGGATGCGGTTGGTACTCATGTGAGTTTTTTTCAGTGCCCTCGACTTCGCCCCGCAATCTTCCTTTACGATCTTCCGCCATTTTCCTTATTGAACGCACTGGATTCACCCAAATCTTCCTTTTGATAGCAGCGATAAACCTCGGACGACCTGTGGCCACCTTCGCGGATAGTGGTCCTTTCTTTTCTCGGTCTTAAACCCTTTTGACGGTCCACCGGGACACTCCCACGGCGATTGTAATGTCTTTTTACGACATTTGCGCATGGTGCAACTGTCAAACTAAGTAAATCATTTTCTTTTATACACAGCCTACTACGGTATGAGCTATAGGTTACGTGCATGCAAAGAAAACCAAGGCATTGTTTGCACAGGTGAAACGGGAACCTTATTTGTACGATGGTGCAAACATTATCACGCATACGGTATTTTCTACGAATAACGAACTACTAAATAAAAAAATAAAAATCGTGTTCATTTACAGTAAATCAAACGTTAACAACGTGTGTACTAGGTATCGCAGAATTTGACACGAATTTGTCAAATGGTGCAGGGCGTGAGAAGGAGACGAGTGAGAAGTAAGTGAGTGCTAAGTGACTGAACGAGTGGTGAGAAGTGATTTAGCGTATTAACGCAACACATTTTTCCAAACTAGGTATTCAACTAGTTAATCATATTTTTACTCTTTTGGAGAGGTGACCTACAAACTACTCGTAAAGGGTGTCATCAATTCACTCTACACTACTGCAGTTATGCCTATCGCATTCCAGGAGGTATCAGAGTCAACCAATTGTTTAATTGCATAATTTTTTTTCCTAAATGGCCTTCCTTGTCACAAGCTCACTGTTCGTGATGGTGGATGTCAGCTACCTACACATAGCTCAAGTTTTCCTCCATACAATGTATATGTATATATAATTGATATATGTTGGACTTTTGGAGTGTTAAAAAACTGTTCATTTTGGTAGTTTTATTAAAAAAATAAATTATTGGAACGTGACGAAATTATAATAATATAATAAAATTTTATAATTTCGCAAAGAGGATTATAATTGACTTATAATTTTTCATCTTAAACAATTTCATCTAATTTGGAATTGCATCTTATGCAACTTCAACTTCATTTGGATATTTATACGATTTAAAACGAACATTCTTATACGATTTGTGGTGTGCTGGGATTGATGTCCTAACGATACATTGACGTACAGGAGCTTGGAATGGAACCAACGGTTTTCTGCTCAGTTAACAAAAACGTTTACCACTAGGCGAACGAGCTCCTTATATTACAACACACCACTTGTGATCCAGTTGTTGCTATTACCATGTATTCATATTAATCTAATCTATTCTAACACCAACACAGCCAGTTCTTGAAAGCATCCTGGAAAATTATGGATATACCTTCATAATTTCCCTTGTCTATTTGATATATGTTTCACATCAAAGATGCGTCACACATATCAAAACGGCCAGGCCTACTGTGCAGCATTTAAGGGGCAAGATGATTCAGAAAACATCGGGCCTGTTTAAATCGCAGATTTAAACACGATACTTCAGGATCCAATAAATGGATGAAACGTGGACATCTCGTACCGTACGTTCCGATTTTGATAATTATATTGGTTGTTGGAAGCATCAAAGCTAGAAAGGTTAAATGATGCTCCATTTTCTTCTGACGGTTGGGACATAAGCACTAACTCTTGTTCTAGCCTTTTATGGCTTATTGCTATTACCATGTATTCATATTAACAAATAAAGTGATGTATTGAGAATAAACTCATAAAGTTCTGCTTAGAAAGCAAAAGCTGCCGCTCTAAGGCCATCGAGCCTCTCATATCACATCAACATCTATAATTGAGTTGTCGTACCCGGTAGCGACGACGACGACGACGGCTATTTTTTTTTTGTTATGAGAAACTCGTCAAAGCAATCATTGGAGTGTCATGATGAAATGCTATCAAGATTTCTCGCGGAAATGAACCAGCGTCTGGCTGAAAATCTCCTTAATAAAGAAAACCAACCAACCAACCAAGATTTCTCTTGATATCAATCACCGAAAAGTTTCTACGTGACAACAAAGATCGCAACCCCTAATGACCCATTTCACCCCGGTTAGCAATAAGCCCCCGGACAGCTTATTGAAGTTTAATTCAATTTCAACATTTAGAATAAAGCACTGATTATTTAATTTGAAACACTATTAAACCCGTGCATCTGATCAGCACCACAGGTGATTAATCCAAAATGCACATCTCCCATACCATCATCATCATTGTCGTTTCAAAACACCGCTCCCACAGTGCAAAGAGTTGACCCAGTTCTTCCCAAAAAGGAAGCTTGCTTCCTTCTGCACATTCTTTAAGCAAGCAAAGGTGATGCCAAACGACGACGCAGTGTCGCGTGTACTTGTAGCTATTTTCAAGGGAGGTGTCAACATATGATATGCGCCCGCAGGCAGAAGTTAAAAGTTGAGGGGAGCTTGAAGACTAAACAACGCAATCACGTTGCACGTCGTCGTCGTCGTCGTCGTCGTCGTCGTCGGTCGTCGTGAGGGGATAGAATGAAGAAGCATGACCTACCTTGAAAGGGCACAGCTGCTGAGAATCTGCCTTCCGTCTTCGCCAGGTCAATGCTTGTACGTACTGTGGTCGTTCGTTTTGCTGCAGACTAGTTTTAAATGCAGCTACAGCCTTCCGTTTTCGATTGGTTCACTTTGTGTTTATTTATTTTTTTTCTTATTACTATTGAGAACAGCACTGCGTGCTACGATCCAAACTATCAGCGAATAAACGATGACTGGTTAGTTTTACCGCAGCATTCAGCATCCCTCTCCGCTCGCGCGTTCGTCGGGCTCGAACCTAAGTAACCAGTGAACTTCCAAGGCGAGCCACTTTGATTACCCCACGAAAAAAACTGCAGCCATTTAATGCCAATTGATCAATTGCACAGCGCCTACTTTGAATTGGGTTCTCACCAGGGCTCACACTTGCTTCATAACAATTTCTCTTTCTGATTTTAGCGCACACATGCATGCACCGCACCGCACCCCAAGGAGGTGTGTTGTTTTTACGATCACGATTATTTTTCACTATTGAGAATAATCACCCTTTCTTCACGATTCCAGTAAGAATGCGACACTATACACAATGTTCCTCACAATGTAACGGGAACGGATCCCAATTAAACTCCCACCGCTGCCCCGAAAGCCATACACTCACCAGCTGCAAATCACCAGAATACGCCTCACTGCTAATCGATTTTTCCCAGTAAACCACTTTTGTGATGTTGCCCAATTGCGACCTGCTTATCGCAACCGATTCTCTCTACACTGAAAATTAGACCCACCGCCACTTGACGTACGCCTATAAATCTTCTTTTCTGCTACCGGACGCCAGTTGGAAGATACGTCTTTCCTTGCAATTCGTCTTACATCAGTAACCTCGAAAAATTGTTCTAAAGTCCCATTCAGAATCAAACGATCCCTACAATGAAAAAACTGTATACACAACACAGCTAATAGCTACTCTATAATGGAAGAGAACACTATGGGTTGCCCAGTAATTTCCCGAAGCGTTCCAGCGACCGTTCAGCGAAACGCACGCAAAACCAATGAGCAGAGAGAGCACTGTGCAGTCACCACGAACCGCCTGCTTGCCTGCCGTGTGCTACGAAAAGTCACGCCGATATCGGTCTCGTCCCGTTCGTTCCTATGCAGCCCAGCTGAAACCAGCGAGCTGCTAGCTGCCGTGAGCACAATCCGAGCCACGACCAGCTCTCCCACCGACCCAGTCGCAACCTCTCCGAGCACGCGGCCAGCAGAGCAACAGCACAGATCCAGTGTAGTGCTTTTGAAGTGTTTACGTTTTGCGAGCCGTTCTGACAGCTGGTTGACTCCCATCCACTCAACGTGAGCTATGCTCGCGTGACTCATTCGCTCCGCAAACGACGACGGCGTCGTGGAGCATTGTCAACATCAGCACCACATTAGCAGGCGGTGGTGGTGCTTGCCTTGGCATTTGTATCAAAACAGAGAGCATAGATTGTGCGAGCGCGGGAGAAACGGAGCAACCCACCCTGGAAGCATGACAGCTGAGCTGTCTGCTGCATAGACTTTATGGAACTGAGGCATAGCTTGACATATTCTATGAGGGTAGGAAAGACGACGACGGTTCTATCATAAGATCGTGAGAGGTGGTATAGTAGTTATCCAGACAGATGCGGAGGAAGTGGTATAGCATGGTAAATGCAATTGTTCGATTGAGCCGTTACTGCGGTGGACTGTCGAATCCAAGATGGCAGTTTATGGTTAACCCTAATCACATACAACAAAGAAGATGGAAGAACATCCCAGAAATTGCGGTGGGTGGACGGTGCCTCCCTCCGCGCTATTCGGGGGACTCCTGTATTTGGTAATTTCATATATTGGATTTACTACTTCATGTTTAATGTGTATTATCTGCAAACAATGGACATAGCATAACTTGTGTTGAGCTAGTCTTTTACATTGCTGTATGCTACCATTAAGGGGGTATTCCCGATCTTTTTTTTTCAAAAAATCAAATTTTTTTTTTCACGTTTTTTTGTACTTTAGACTATATACTTTCATCCCCCCAAGCCGTTTTCCGATCAGCGAATTCGGTGTCCAGGCATAGCTGACTAATGGTAAGAACCGCCAAATGGTTTTAACTAAAGTCAAAACTTTAAACGCGTTTTTCTCGAAACCACATTTTTTTTATCGGGCGAAGATTTTTCTCAGAAACTATAAGAGATATTGACTTGAATCTTAGCGCATTTTGTTCCTTATTAAATTCTTTGGAGCTTCTCCCACTTTCAGCCAAAAATATTAACATTTAACATTGTTTGAAGCACCTTAAAGTTGCAAAAAAGCGGGCTAAAAATCGCCTGTTTTTTCATATGGCCGCCATTTTGTTAATTTGCAAGATTTTTTGCTGCCAACGGGAGAAGCTCCAGAGAATCTTATGCAGATTATTATTTCATCACGAAATCTGTTTCAGATGAAGCCGTTCCAGAGAAAAGTCTTCGCCCGTCCAGGCGTTTGCGGCGAACAGGGGTCTGTTTGTCGCCATTTTGTGACGTCAATAATGTCTTTTTTTATGTCGAAAAAAATTATTTGTAAACTTTAATGTTCAATAAACAAGAATCCCAAAGAGTTAGGCGCATTACTATTCATTTTCCTTGAAAAAAAAAATTAATTGAAAAACAGGCCGAAAAAAGGCAAAAGATTGGGAATACCCCCTTAAGTTGAATATCACTAACAGCATTTTGATACTATCAATAAACAATAAATACACGTGTAAAGTAGCTGATCTCAATGGCAGTACACGGTCGATCAGACCAACTTTGACTCGAGTCGTCTCAATTTCGTCAAAAGTGGATTTACTCAAAAGTAAGTTGAATTTTCCGAGCAAAAGTGGTGGAAAACCAAAAAAAAAAACTTCTTAGATATGAGAAAAATCCATGAACATTTTACTTAGTCGAGGAGTATAATGAGTATGACTGAGTGAAACCTCTATAGCAAATTCAAGTCACTACAATCATGCTCATGCTCAAAGCTCGGAAAATTCAAGTCACTTTTGAGTAGACTTGACTCACTTTTTGAGTTATTCTGATCGACCATTCTGATGGTAGGGGAATATGTGTTCCACAGACAAACAGACGTAACTCTTTTAAAAAATTCCCTTAAATATATCGTCACGGAACGCACTACCGACATGTCGCGAGTTACTCGCGGAAAAAATCCTACTTGCCATGTCTCAAACAATGTTGCATACAAGTTCGAAAGAATGTTTAGAAACGTTACATTCGCGCAAGCAATAATATATAAAGTGAGCTTTAAACTCTTGTACGACGATTAAGAACAAAGAGTTACGTTTGTTTGTCTGTTTGTATACATTAGGTCTGTTCCCGTACTTGCTTTTCTGTAAGATTATGTACAGTAAAAAACAAAAGTATGTTCGCGTAGGTACTCCACCTTATTATTTTCTTACAGCAACTTACAGAAAGCTGCAGCAACCTACAACAAAAGCATAAAAGCAAATACAAGCACAGACCTATTATTGCGCCTTGTTTTCATCCGAGTGCTTCTAGATGTCAGCACTGATTAAATATATGGAGCTTTTTGTGAGAAGCTTTGGTATGGGTAAACACGGACAATCAAACCTCCTCAAAATTGGATCGAATCGACTCAATTTCTTCAACAGTGGATTTACTCAAAAGTGAGTTGAATTTTCCGGGCAAAAGCCGTGGAAAACCAAGAAAAGCTTTTCGAATATGTACATTTTACTCAGTATAGGAGTATACTAATATACTGAGTGAAACCACTATCGATTTTTCTCATATTCGAGGAAATGTTCGGAAAATTCAATTGACTGTTTAGTAAATCCGTTTTTGACGAAATTGAGTTGAGTGGAATAAATTTTGAGTCGATGTGCTTACTGTATTCTTACTAACTATTTTTTTATAGCACTAGTGAGCTTGTATGTTCATACTCAGACTTAGAGGTGCTCTTCGTTATGATCCAGTAATGCCACGGGCAGTATGTGAATTTTTAAACCATAAGGGACTAACTTCGATTATCGTTTAGCTTATTTTTGACGTAGGACTACGTCTTTCGAGAAGATGGGGGTACGCTTTATGAAAACCGACAAATGAAATTATGCAAGATTTTGAACGTTAATAACTTAGCTGCCCCTCGACCAATTTCTAAAAAAATTATCACCAATGGATCAGAAACATTTACACGCATCGATACAAATGGTTTTGACTGTTGATTTTTAAATTGAAACTATTGAAAAAGTGGTAAATTTCAAGCATTGTCCAAAAGCTTCGAAATAACTATCACATCCACCAATTACGTACATGCATATGCTGCTTCCCCAACACAGTCATCAGAGAATGGTTCCTAGATGAAACAAGTCGAAGTGACATTCGCCTTCGATCTTCGGGTGTGTACGAATACAGTGTTACGGTTCCCTGGTAGCGGTAGAGCAGAACTACCATAGGGCGGACCAATCAAAACACTTAGGGCAATGTGCACCAACCAATAAAACAAAACTTGAGAACATATGCCATCAACAAATGTGTATTCTCACTTCCCACATACTACCCCTTTCTATCCACTGTTCCTTTTCTCTCTCTCTCTCTTTCTCCTGTTCTTAATCCTCTTTCTGGTCCTAACTAGGGCTCGCTAAACTACATGGCTTTTCCTTATTTTCTTCGGCGTCGCAAAGCTTCCGCCCACTACGTACATTGGAACGTACTCACATTTTCTCCTGCTCGCCGTCGTTGCTGCCACTAAGGGACTTGCTTCATGGCCTCACTGCACCCATGCGCCTCTTCAACGTACCGGCTTATCGGCTTCCCTCCGTCATCAGACCGTCGACTTGCCGAACGTTCGCGCCAACTCGTCCCAGAGATCTTCGGAGCCAGCTGTCGACGCGCACCTCCGCCTACGACCGTCGAGACAATCGTCGCTCTATCGCCCTTTCCGTGTGGTAGTAGAATTGCTGTTCGTCACAGAGTTCACTGTTGCGGGTCGACGTCGTGCACTTCCGGCTTCGAGCACCACCCAGTCCGTCGTTCGCCGTAGTGGCGCAAGGAGTGCCACTCGCCGTGCGGTCCAACCAGCGGCCGTCACCCGGGTATCCGTTGCTTGCCGTCACCTAGTCCGTCGCTCGCCGAACGATCGCAACTGTCACTCGCACAGAGAGTTTGAAGATCGAACTAAAGAGAAAAGCGCCCTGGAAGTCGATCCATTAGTTTTAGCGGAGATTCAGGATTCACATTCGGTGCAACTCACCCTCGTATGGGACGCTTCTTTCTCCTTCCACTTCGGTTGCCTTCCGTGTCCGAGCGATGTCCACGCTGTGACGACAACGTGCTTCCTTCGCTGGATCTCTCGACCGAACAAGTTTGGCCTATGATCAGTCCGTGTGCGATTCCGTTGGTTCACGAGCTGTTGGTGTGGCGATCGGTAGTTCCTCACGGTCAGACCGAACCGGATCCGAAACGTGCTGCCTTTTCCCGCTGTTTCACTGGATTGAACCAGTACGTGCTGCGACCAAATCGTGTGGTTGGTGTCAGCCAAAATCGAACGGAAAGCCCAATGCTTTACCGGGTGTGGAACACACTGTTTTTCGGCAACTTCCTAACACTGCTGAATCGCGTGATGCCACAATTGACGAGTGCACGGATGGATTTGAGTTCACTCACTCGACAAAAAGTGACACAACAGCGGGGCCCTGTTTACTAAAAAAGAACACATATATGTTCATTTTTAGTAAACAGGGCCCCGCTGTTGTGTCACTTTTTGTCGAGTGAGTGAACTCAAATCCATCCGTGCACTCGTCAATGGCAGTTATACGTGCAATGAACTTTGCTGTGAAACGGCAGCGCCGGTGTCTTGTGCGTGTATGTGTTTTTTTCCGTCGCGCTGCTGCGCTGCGATCGGGAAGCACCGTTTTCATCTCGCTGCTTTGCGAAGAGGCCTTTTATCGATGATCGATTATTTGGTTCGACAGTA